TTGTCACAATTTGTAGTTCATGTATCCACGAAGACCTTGGTGTACTGTCGCTGCTTCTTCAAGTTGGTAAATCACAGCTTCAGCGGTTTGGGCATCTTTTGCCAATGTTTTCAAGTAAGAAAAGCGAAATAGCTGTGTGTTACTCGCGCAACCGACCAACCGAAGACCTCTGGGACGACCAGCAATGACCTGAGCCAACTGTCTTGATGGACTTTGGCCCGTGCTGAGGTTATGTTCTGTCAAATCTCAGACTCTAGCACAGGATCGGAAACATTTGCAGACACTGCGTGACGCTGCTACCTCTGTTACCCGACAGGATAAGTGGCCATTAAAAATGACTGACTGATTAGTTGAGTTTATCCTTAATTATTCCGTTAGTTTAATATTGTTTTTTAAGGAAAAACTAATTATTTTCTGGTTACTGTTTAACCGATGTAAGGTGAAGGGAGTTCATGCACGTCAGGAGAGTTCAAAGCCCCACAAGTACTGTTGCCTGCATCACGATGCGTGCTTAACCTCCAGTACACGTCATCGACTTGTCTCGCCTCAGCGCCTGCGGTTCACGTGAATATGCGAAAATGATAGGAATTATGCTGCCGTAACTAATGACGTGTTCGTGCTGCGCACTGGAGGAACCATTCCAAATCGTCACAGCACGTGACATGCTGTTATTGAACCGGTTTAATAGCTGCAGTGTGGCGCATTCGAGCGCATGTTGCAACATCAAGCGACTCTCACCTCTGTGACATCACGCTAAATAATGCTGGTAACATAGCCGGGCTTGCATATGCACAAAAATAGGCGACACAACTTCTTATTGGTTTTGAGGAAACATATCTGACAAACACACACTGTTTCAAAAATAAATTATAGGCAATCCGGCTTGTTTTCATCAGCGGCTGCTCGACAGGTGTTCCGTCACTCATCTCGGCAGTGTGTCCCTTGCTTCCACCGTTGACCAGACAGCTTCTCATTGGATCATCTCCAAGTTTGTTGGTGGACGACCAGTAGAAGACCGTTGCCAAAGGAGGTCCAGTTCGTAACTCTGGATGTCAACATGTTGTCCTTCAGAGGAGCCACATGACCAGCCCGAAGCCTGTTAGAGTTCTAGGCGGCAGTAACTACGTCCAAAACAAGTGTAAGACCGAACTATCCCCCTTGAAACACGGTCTTGATGGCAGAACATAGCATCTTCATCTTCTTTCCATTGCTTTCTGCATTACTACTAGTTTATTTCCTCAGCCTTGGTCGTAGACCTGCGCCCCGCGCCATAAATCGTGGTGAAGTCGATCAGTTCTTTCTTCGTGGACATGGACAGTTTGTTATCAAGCTTGCGTGTTCTGATGTGATTGAAGCGTTCCCTTACTGCCTTTCTTCTTCTGCTGATCTTGCCGTTCATGTTCTTACTGGGGTCCGTTTGGTGGCTCAGGAGGTATTCGTTGCTAGCAACTTCTTCCACTTCACGTCAATGAAGATTTCACCTGCGAAGCTGGACTCGTTACTCACCTCCAAGTTGATGCCGCGTAATCCTTCTGTAACTGTTTATCTTTTATCTATGTTTGGAGTTCCACCGGGTCTTTAAAAAAGATGATGACGTCGTCTGCAAGCAGCAGATCCATCAGCCGTTCTCCATCGATGTTAACGCCGCCACCCCAGTTCGGCCGCTGAAAGAAGGATTCCAGCTCTATCGCGAAATGCTTGGAAAAGATAGCTTCTCTTTGGCATGCGGCTGTTTTGATTTTAATTCGAGACGGTTCTTCGAAAGCCTTGATATCGGTTGCGTTTTCGGTATTCATTTCCTGGATCAGGTCGACATCGCAAACTTAGTTGATATCGTAGTCATGCAAGGCGTTCAGCGTAGCTGTAATTCGATAAAATCGAACGCGTTTCTGAAGTCAATCAATGTG